TAGGTGATAAGTTGAAGGAAATAATACTCGAAGGGATAATACTAAAAGATTGATCATGTATAGTTTAGTAAAACCTACACCATTTCATTAAATGGTAAGGTAGAGGGACAATGATAAGAGAATATCATCATCCCTGAAAATAAAAAAACATAGTAGAACATGACTTGTTAGAATATTTTCCCTATATAAATAAGGATAATATTATCATATCATATGTTATGTAAATTGCCTCTCTCTATCATGGAGAGGTCACAACCATAAAGAGGGGTCTCTCAATATAGGGATAATATTATGCTAAAATATAGATATTAGGGTTTTAATAGCGTTACTAAATGATAATATCCAGTTTTTGAACAATCTATCTTATATAGGTCCATTCATTATATTTTAGAGTGATCCAAGCCATCCCCTGAATTGATCATTTGATAGACGTTTAGTAAGGCTTTATAACATTTTGGATACCTTTTGCATAATTAGAGAGATGGCTTATATTAAAGAGAGGCATAATTAACTATATTCTACGTATTCTGTCAATAATCTTTTCCTTCTCATCATGGGTTGCACCATAAGGATATTAATTCGACTTTGTCATTAGTGAGAAGGTGAGGGAAGGAGGGAGATAGAGAGAGAGAAGCCAAGATTGGTTGATAGTACCATAACAGTTTATATTGGCATGTTTAACTTAATACCTATTTAGTATAGTCCATAAATATGATCATATCCATATAAAATCAATTATATCACTAGCATTTCCCCTCCCTAATTTGGTGAGAATAACTTTATCATAATTTATCGATTAATTAGGGTTTAACATATCCTTACTAAGGGAGGGAGGAGGGAGGGAGAGATGGAAGTATATATCTAATACGGTATGAGTAAATGTTAACATCATAAAATTATTCCATTTTGGTGTACTCCTATCATTAACTTATAATTCTGAATAAACACCATTGGTCGCATAATAGAAAGGGAGACATTGTCTATATGTGGATAGACTTGTGAGTACTATACTCATGCAATATGATAGCGAGTATGAGATCTCACACCTATTAGTATAGTGATGCCAAAGCAAGCACTTAGGTGATTTATGTTAGAAAACATATCATTAGACTTGACTTTTCATGAGAACCCATTTGGTTTTAGTCTATGGGAATCTCATATGAGATGGGTGCAATAGTTTACCTCCCTACCAACCTAAATGCAAAGGATTGAGTGGGAGAGAAAAGGGTAAAGTATTATCAATTGATTAGTAACCTTAATTTATTATTGTTATTTGAATACCGAGGGAGTTATACCTTTTACTCTTTTGGCAACATATCATAATGAGTTGTAGGATCATGCAAAAATCTTCCATTTTCCCCAATTGGAAGATAACACGGATATGTTGTTTTCATACGGGTTTATCTATCTCCTACTCTCTTGTTTCGCATTGGTCGGATTTCACCCCTAGAATCTATAGACAATAATCTAACTCTCCCACTTAAATCTCCCCTTAAGTTTTTAGTAGAGGGAGATTTTTTAAATATGGAGTGAGGGACCCTAACGTGCACCTCAAGCTTCTAATTAAAGTTGTTAGGATGAGACTTCCCTTATAAGGAGATGGGTAAAATCCCTCTCTCTTAAAATACCCTTTAACCTAAATTAGGAAACTAATTTCCATAGGGAGGGAATATATCAGGATGAAAATTAGGCCCCATTGAAAAATAGAGAATAGTATAGGTACTTTTTCTCTTTTGGTCTCTCTCCATTGATAATAAACTATTTTTGAAGGGGGAGAGAAAGGGTTATTCTTAAGATTGGGCCAATAAGAATTACTTGGTATTCAAATAGCCATCCACCATTAATCCATGTTATTAGTCTTTAGCGTAAACTATGAATAATAGATGAGTAATGGGTCATTTCTTCTATGTTGCTTTCGTTAGCGACTATTCTTATGCCTAAGGGTACAATTCAAAGAAATGAGAGGCGGATAGCTATTTTTTTTATGGAGTTCATCTAGAGTCCAAAAGGTATATATATTACGGAGGGAGGGGCCTATTATGTCTTCCTCAAAATCGAGTTTGATCATAGTCAATAGCAAATATTGTCAACTCGGTTATTATTAATAGAGTGGTTAATAGCATATATGGACCTATACATAATATTAAATTACTTCTCTCATTTTGGACTAGTTCATTAGCATGTTCTACCAATAAATTTATCACAATTATACTGATTATAATTTCTCTCTGTCTTGAGGGGAAATTAAGATATTTAATGATATCATTTATAATTGCATTATGATTATCAATAATATTCATAATATCTTTAGAATATAATATTCATATATTGGTTAATAGTTATGATAAATTTAGTTAATATCTTATTATATTTGAATAATATTATAGCAATTTAATGTTATCCAAGATCATATTGATTCACTTGGTATTCAAACATGCAATTTGTTAATAAATGAATAACAAATATTATGACTATTTAATATACCAATTATAATCAATATGGTTCCATGACGTTATAATAGTTGTAACTAGGTCCAAACTAGATAGATTATAAATAATTTAAATAATCAAGTTGAAAATATCTATTGGTATACACTTGGAAAATTCACTCCTCACATAGAGATACTAATGAATCAACTTTACCAAGAAGATACCTTTAAGGGAAAGTATTTACATGACTATAATGGATCAAGAGTTGGACCATTAGATGTAGGTATTTATGAGCTAGCATTACCCTATAGGAATGTGTTAAGACTCAATTATTATTATTTTATTAGTGAACAAAGATCTTATTTCCATTTCTTATTTTGAATAAGTATTTCATTTTTAAGAATATGAGTTTTTATGGACAAGAGGTGATAATGGATAGTGAAGGAGATTATTAAGCACATTCCTAGTTTGTGTTACCATAGGGAGAGGTTAATATCCTTAAGGGGTATAATTGAACAATGTCTATTCCAATTATGGTCCTTAGTGACTAACTCATATGGATGATAACTCTTAATGATATACAAGAGAGTGATGACTTAACACTTATTGATTAATTATAAGAGAGAGGGGAGTTATTGAAAAGCTAAGAGAGAGGTAAAATTGGAATGAGGGTATTACCCTAAACGGAGTCCTTTATTCTGCTCTAATGGAGTAGTATATTCATACTCTCTCAAAGATATTAATTTTGGGGGAATACTAAGGCTAGGCAAATAGGTTGGTAAATTATGAGAGAGAATAATGCCTTATAATTGATGGGAGGGAGAGAGTATGACCAGCCTAGGGCCTTAATGTAATTTGGGATACGCATATCTAAATGGGTGTATGCCAAATTGAAATAGGATTAAATTACTTGTATAGGAGGAATATGCCTCTCCCTCTATGAATCGTCTAGACCCCTCTCCAATCAAGTAGGTCACTTCCCCTAGTCTCTCTCCCCACTTTCACTCCCTCTCCCTCTCTCCCTCTCTCTCTCTCCCAATCTTCCCCATCTCCATCTCTCCCTCTTAGTCATTTGACTCATCTTAGTAAAGATATAGGAGATCCTTGATGCTCGCACGATGGTCAATATTTATCTATTTGGCATTCAATAGACTTAGGCCCTAAAGTGATTCTTAGAGGGAATACTAAGGTGAGTCGAATGACCAAGAGATATTGGATATTTAAAATGGGTACCATGCTCCATTACTAATGGTAAGAACTATGGTATGCAACATATAGAGCATGGTTCATATTAACAATCTCCATTCCAATTCTCCTTATAGAATATGCTCACATAAAAAATAGATCACTCTCAAACTTGTACCATGGTCCAACATGTACTACATCTATATAGTTGGCATCGAACTAGGTCCAAAAAACCTCAAAGTTAGGTCGACATTTTTCTTGACTTTTTGCCACGCTTATACCGTTCCATGAATTCCAAAGCCTAATGGTCTTGAAAGATTCGTGGCATAAACATTTAAGCCAATGGTTCCATGTTAAGGAATTTATTATATCTTTTCTTAGAGAATACTATTAGTAATTAGAGGGAGACTGAAAATCACATTATTAGTGCGGTTGATTAAATTCCCCATTAATAGGAATATGGTCCAACCAAAGTGACCACTCTCTCTCCCACCAACACTCTCCCTCTCTCTCACTCTTCCCCTCTTAAATTAATTAGAGTTCACGCAAGTTATTTTGTCATATTATTGCTTAGAAGACCATATGACTATTGATTACGTTTTTGTTAGATCCTTTAGCATGATCCCCCTCTCTATCAACATAGTCATTGTCCCGCTAAATAAAATAGGCAGTAATTTCACCATTTAATGGGAGACATTGTAAGGGATGGGAAGAAAATCCCATTAATTGGTTTTTGACCTATTATCCCTATATAAATAATAGTTTGAGACTTATATAGATAATTCTCTACCATATTATACGAGATGGGAATAATAGATAGAGGCCATATATGTTATAATAAATGGTTATTTATTAGACATGTGAGAAGGTGAGGGAAGGAGGGAGATAGGGAAAAATGCTATAGATTATAGCTAATCTATAATGACCTCTCCTCATTTTACCTCTCCCTACCATCCACCAAATTTTCTCTCCGATAAATATTTACCCGACTCTTAATTTCTTGAATCATGAGGGATTTTACACTAATATTTAATTTTCCTTATAGACGAGTTAACTAGCATATTACCTATATTTATCAGTTAATACCTTTAGGTTACCTTTTTGCATGGATAGATTGACTAATTATCCTCCTTGGCTTACCTAGCACTTCTATTAGGATTCTCTAATAATCATCTCTTTTAATTAGCCCTTAAATACTTAACCGATTAGTAGGTTAAGCTTTTGTTGGGTAGTCAATTTTTGCCTAGTGATAGGACTAGGTTTTAGATCACCAATTATTAAAAGGGAATCTCAATTGCTATTAGTTTATACAAGATTGTTAAACACTATACTCATCTCCCTCACCTCCATTAGGCAATTAACTTAATAGTAAGGAGAATCCAAGAGATGGAGGGAGGAGATGTATTTAAAGATGATATGAATGTGGAGGATGATGGCTTAGGGGTGATCCTATCTCTAACACCCTATAATTCAATCATTCCAAATAGTGGTGGTACTCTATGTCATAATTCTCTCTTATAGAGGATCATACCATCTATAATGGAGTGAGGGAGTGATGTATATTAATCCCTAATATACTCATAAGGTCCACTTAAACTAATTAGTCACCTATCATTTATATTAATAATATTGATATTATAGTATTAATATAAAAGATAGATGATTAATTAGTTTAATCGAACCTCATGAGTATATTAGGGATTAATATACATCACTCTCTTACTCCATTATAGATGGTATGATCATCTATAAGAAAGAATTATGAGAGAGGGAGATAATAATTGCAACCCTTTAGCACACAAGGAATAGGGTTATCATTCTCTCTCTCCTCTCCACATTGAACGAATCAAGTTTACCTCTAAGTCTCCCTATCCATCATCTATTAAAGTTTGAGCCAATAAGCCTATAGCTAACATATCCTATTATTAATCCCTTTTCCCTTAATCTCTCCCTCTATGTGGAATCATTTGTGACCCAACCAATCGCCTCTATTTGAGAGGGATAACTTATACACTCCTACACATGGATTCGATCCTCATGGGTAAATTATCTTTACGTATTATAAGCCTGTTGTGAGCAAGGAGTGTACTATCAATAAGAAAATTAATATTATAATAGTAAAGGCTAGTGATAATTCACCATCTCTCTCCCTAGGTTTATAAGTCATATAGACTTATAAATTCAAGAGGTAAGCTGTACTCATTTACATAGGGGCACCCACGAGGAGAGGGAGATATTTGCCTTTTATATATTATCCAAAGGTTCTCACTCCCTAATGAGCAATCATAGATAGACACTATTTCTACCCCTCTCTCATAATGTTAAACCTGGTTTGCATTATAAACCCTATTAATATTTCTTATCAATTAGAAATCTACTAGTGGAAAACCCATTTATTACAATGTTAATATTATAAGTAAGGAGATAGATATTTCCTCGTGGGTTCTCCGATGTGAGACTAAAGAGGGATCTACAAATAGTTTTAAGCCTCTCTTTACTTGTATTATGAATGGTAGTATATATCTAACCTCAACCCTTTCCCTCTATTAGTGCCTCATGTGATTACCCTTATCTATATTAAGGCCCGAGCATACAACTAACGTTTGGCCCAACACTTGATAAGTGTTCAACTATTTAATTGTGTTGGAACAATCCAAAGTCCTAAATGGAGGCATAGGGAAAGGCAAACGCTTGAGAGAGAGAGGAAGGGTCAAATTCTTATATTAACCTCCAAAATATTTTAAGTAGGTGTCTTTGCCAAGTACTATATGTCTTCCTATTTGTATAAGTGATACAAACATTGGCTACTCGAGACCTCAATGTTATCATCAACAAAGAGATGGGCTATTTCATTTTAGGTCGAATCACAAAGGCTAGGGCCAAAAAGTTTGATGATTCCTTAAATGGGCTTATTAAACATTAATGGGCTGATTTCTACATCACTAGGCTTGAAGAACATCAATTGGGCCTTATGAATCGATACATGCTATTGGGCGAGAAAGTTTTAGATGTAAAGTCCAACCTAGCCAAACTTTCTTATCTTGATGTTTTGGTCCGAGATTGTTAAGTAGCAATTATAGAATCAGCCCACTTCCAAGCCAAAGTCACCATTATTTTCAAGTCAACAAAATCAAGCTTTTGGGGCTAAAATTCTAGATGCTTGAATTCGAGGAGTTTGCTTCCAATTTCAAGAATTTTCAAAGCTTTGTTAGATCTAAGATTTTTGATTGTTAGATCTTATGTAATTTAATTCAACTTTGTCTTTCTGAATTTCCAGTAGCCTATTTATGTAAAAACAATATGTAACTTCATTTCAAAATCAATCTTTGAATCAAATCAACCTTTGTGAGAAAATTCACACCTTAGTTCTTTCTATAACTGAATTTTAAAACTTATCACTCCTATTCTACCAATTCAAGAGTGTGGTGTCCAAATCCTTTCAATCTGATTTGGCTTTTTGGGATTTCTTCCTTCTTGTTCGTGGGTTCTCTAGCCATTGAGCTAGGCGGGTTCACATCAATTGGTATAAGAACTCAATTTCCAATCAGGTTTTTTTTTCTTTTTTGATTAAATTCAATTCCTTTTAATTTTGTTTAGTCCAATTTTGGGTCGGTCCAACTATATATAAAAAAATGGTCCGTTCTAATTTGGGTCTATCGAGATTTGTTTGAATTGCTTGACACTTCTTGTTGTTTCAATTTGGTCTTGTTTTTTTCGTCAAGTCTATATCTTCTAATTAATTATCCAAATTCTGAAATTGTTCATTTGTTGCCAAAATTAGTATTCTACCATTATTAAAAAAACGAAAGAAAGAAAAGAAAAGAAAAGAAGGATCCAAATTCTGAAATTGTTCATTTGTTTCAATTGTGTGCATTCTTAAAGTCTAAATTATTGTGTATCAATTCAGCTCATTAGGACCCAATCTGTCAAAAAAATGAATCCTAGAGTCTTTTGTTCGGTTATCTCATGATCAATCAGTTTTTTTTTAAAAAATGTAGTTTTAAATATTGAACTCCTCATCATCATTTAAATTCAATCCTATCTAAAACTATTGTTTGTTTGAAATTTCAGTTTTTATTCTTGTTGTTTAAACTATCCGAATCCATACTCGTTTGGGCATAAAAAAAAAAAAAATCTTGTCTTCATCGTCATATTCCAAAAAGCAAATTTGACATGATTTATGGTAATTAGAAATACGAGATATGGAATGACTAATGCTAAAGGATCCATTTGGGACTCTCCAAATTGAAATTAGATGTATAAGATGAATGATTAAACTTTGCGAAGAACAAGCACTCCAGCAATAAAATGAGGCAATTGAAGTTGCGAATTCCAAAGATCATAGTATCAACATAGAGGTTGATGTGGTTGAAACATCTTCTAAAAAGTTCAAACGACACGATGAAGAATCAAAATCTAAAAATTTTGAGGTTATTGTTGCCAACAAAGAGGTTCATGAGGTTGAATTTGTAGGTGTCAAAAACACTTCGAATTTCGGTAAAAGTGTTGACAAAGTTGTTATCCTTTAAAATGATGTAGACTTCAAAATTTTTGACAACGAAGTCACTAATGTTGCTTGCACGTTCGATGGTGTTAAAGTCAAAGATGAGGGCATTAATGAGGTTGTCAATGAAGGAATAATCGAGTGTGTTGCTGCTACCATTAAAATGTTAGACAAGAGTGATGATCTTACAATTCATTTTCTTGGTGTTGACAATTCGTATAGTAAAAGGTTTAGTTCATTAAAGCTTAGCTTTGATGACATTGGGTACAAAATATTTGAATATGTCAATTAGGTTTTTAACCACCTAAATGATGGTTAGCTTAATGTTTTTGTAATTGATATCATCATTTGTTACCCACAAGGTAAGATTCAAGGATGAATCTTTTTGAAGAGTGGGGGAATGATACGAACATGGGCTGCTTAAACCTCAATGTTATCATCAACAAGGAGATGGGTTGTTTCATTTTGGGCCCAATCACAAGGGCTAGGGCCAAGAAGTTTGATGAGTCCTTAAATGGGCTTATTTCTCCATCACTAGGCATGGAGAACATCAATTGGGCCTTGTGAACCAAAAGTTTTAGACTTAAAGTCCAATCTGGTCGAACTTTCTTATCTTGATGTTTTGGTCCGAGATTGTTAAGTAGCAACTATAGAATCAGCTCACTTCCAAGCCAAAGTCACCATTATTTTCAAGTCAACAAAATCAAGCTTTAAGGCCGAGATTCTAGATGTTGAATTCAAGGAGTTTGCTTCTAATTTCAAGAAGACTTTTTAAAGCTTTGATGGATCCAAAAATTTTTATTGTTAGATCTTATGTAATTTAATTCAAATTTGTCTTTCGGAATTTCTAGTAGCCTATTTATGTAAAAACAATATGTAATTTCATTTTATAATGAATCTTTCAATCAAATCAACCTTTGTGAGAAAATTCACACCTTAGTTCTTTCTAGAACTGAATTTCAAAACTTATCAAGAGTCTAATTTGATTCTTGTGGCATTCGAGTGACTTATCACTTCCTTTCTACACTTTTTAGAGTGTGGCGTCCATACCCTTCCAATCTAATTTGGTTTTTGGGATTTCATCTTTATTGTTCGTGGGTTCTCTAGCCATTGAGCTAGGTGGGTTCACATCATATAGGCTCCTCTCTATAGGAAATAATCATGACTATGTACTTTTAATATGCCTAACCATGTAGTTTTTTCAAACGTGTTACACATTAATATCTTTATAGATGAAAAGATAAGGGTGAACTCATGTTGAGTATTCTTAACTAATTGCCCATTAATTCACTATTTAGAGAGTAAGGCTATTAAAAGGTTTATGCCATAAAAAAGGGTTAGATTGGCATGTACACATAGTAAATAGAAGACCATAGTGGCTTATAGATTAGCATGCCCTAGATTGGTAAATTAATAGCAAACCTAGTAAAGGGTTTCACATGGGCAATTCGTGGGCTTTTAATTGCTCGTATTACTTCATAAACCAATTTAAGAATGTATAGGGTTCACATATATATCATTATTTGTACTAAAATTATTTAGTTTAAACTCTAAGAGAGGGAGGGATATCATATAGACAATCTAGCCCTTTTTTAGTAATTAGGGATTAATCCATAAGTTTTAGTGCAAATAATAATGTTGATAATTCCCTCCCTCTCCCTCCCTCCTTCCTTCATCACACAGATTAAATTACTTATGAGAAGGATTATTTCCCATAATATATTGACTAAAAGGAAGGAAATTCCAAAATAACCCGATAAATATAAGCGGCCAATTGGGTGAACCCCTCCCTCTCACTCATGAGAGTTATCACGGAGGAACAATATATTTGGAATATCCTTCCTTTTAGTCAATATATTATGGGAAATAATCCCTCTCAAAAGTAATTTAATTTGTGTGATGAAGGAAGGAGGGAGGAGGGAGAGGGAGGGACAATTAGGATAGAGAGAGGCATATGTTTCCAATCGGATGGTAAGGTCAATGCATTTTATAGATTGCGCACACGAGAGAGTTATCTATAATGAAGGGGAACCATATAAAGACATAATATAGCCATTAGATCACCCGCTAATATTGTCTCTTTTTCCTTCTCCATTTTAGACTGAATAGCTTTTAGATATAGTGATAGGTTCGCTCGTAAACTAGGGCCATATGTTTCCAATCGTATATGAATTTAGGCACATATTAATAAATAAACATATATAAGACAGATTGTTCAAAAACTAGATAATATCACTCAATAAGGCTACTAAAACCTTATATCTATATTTTAGTATAATATTATCCCTATATTGAGGGATCCCTCTTGATGGTTGCTATCCTCTCTATGATAGAGAGAGGCAATTTACATAACATATGAGAAGATAATATTCCTTGGGTGATTATTGTAAAATCAATGATATTGGGGTGACTATTAATATTGCCTCTATATGGCCACCCATGATTACGTTTTTAGTCATTTGGACAAATAAAGATTGATCATAGACCAATAAGGTTCATTGGTAAAACCACTAGATATCCAATGGATTAATTATACAATATTAGCCATCCATTCCTCTAACTATCAATTAGATTGGAGCCTCTTAATATGATCTAGGGGCTAGATATTGTTATGTTGGGAACTTCAATATTAGATTGGGTGTCTATATTATCAGATCTTTTCCTCTTAAATTAACCATTTATAGTATAATTAGCCCATTTCTTGTCCAAATAGGGGTATTAACTGGTATATTGAGGATGAAATAATGAAACTATATAAATATGAAATAATGATATAAAATAAAAAAATATGTTAAATAATTGACTATAAATGATTGAAGATATTTGGGAATCGAAGAAAACTTGTGTGTAAATCAAGGCGATCTTGTAAGACTCACTCTTTCACCTAGCCTTTAAATTTAGATGCAAATAAGGTATAATGCAATTTTCAAAACTAGTCATAGTTTATTGGTAAAGTGACAATAAACAAAAGATTAATAATTTGGAAGGAAGAATTATGAAGACATTTACCCTATCATAACCATCTTAGGCCCTTATTTGCATCTTATATTCCTTTAATATTGGTTAACTTTATAGAAGTTCATTAAATTAGGGCAAATACCATTCTCATTACACCTTATTTGGAGGAAAGTTATTACCTATATGCTTATCTCTTACTTTTTAATATATCCCCTTACTCGGTTTATTTTAATCACTATGTTCCATTGTAGATATGTTAATTGGATGAGATATGACATGACTTTATATTTGAGTCATCTCTCCCCCTAGTTTATTTTCAGTCTATATGACTATAATATGGCCTCTAAGCATTTAGTGAACCGGGAGGTGCTAGCTATTTATAGCTTTACCGGCCATATTTTAATAAACATATCTACAATGGAATGCTATAAGGCCTATAAAGAGGGATTACCCTACAAATCACCTTTCTAATATATCTCACTCTCCCATCTCTAAGCATTAAGATATATGCATTTTGGTAACAAATCTTCACATGCTTGATGTTGGCAATTATTCCGCTCTTTGCTAAATATTGCGCTTATATAAGTGTATATATATATACACCTATATATTATCAATTAACATCCTCTCTCCCTCCCTCTCCCTCCCACTATCAATATAATATTATATTTAAGTATTATTATATTAGTAAATATTAGTATCTATTATAACTTTCAATTATAAGATGATAATATATATATATATATATATTATATATATTGGAGGAACATTTTTAAGGCTTAGGTTTAACTAATAAGTATCTTAATAGTAGAGACTTAACCTCTCCTCAAATAATATCCTATCGTATTGGAGATGAAGATAATATTAACCCCTTATCTTACAAAGTGTTGTAACTATTCCATAAACATAAACACAAGAATAGGATGTTACCTATTGGCTAAGGCTATACTCGAATAGATTATTCAACAGGACCAAGAGACCAATTATATACTATATGGTTTTTCTTCACCAATATAAATATTCCCTCTCCAATATGTCTCCCTTAGGTCATAACCACTCGACTAAAAGGTTAAGAAATTTTATAGTATAAGTTTTAAGACTAATAGATAATCATATTATAATTGAAAGTTATAATAGATACTAAAATAATTATCATTAATTACCAACATAAGATAATAGAAGGTAATAGGGCGAACCTTCGGCTCTCAATAGGTACTACCGACCATGATGCAATTATAGGACCCACTAATCAGTTCCTCCGTTAATATAATATGAACCAAAAGAATGAGGCTATCAATATATTCTAGATGTTATAATAAACCATGGGTACCCTTAGATTAAGGTCCCTCTTAATTCTACTATCTATTTACTTATATCCCATACTATCGAATCTTGGGTAGCCCTCTTTCCATTATAATAGGGGTTTCTTATGTCCATTATGATATATAATATCCTATAAACTATAATAAGTGTATATTTTCCCAAACACCTACATGAGCTAATTGTAACAACACTATCTCCCAATCTATAACATTTTATGGGATGCACCAAATATAGATTATGATATTATGGGTGTTTACTGTAGGAGAGGGAACCAATCACATGTTAATAGTTTAAAATATGGATGATTAATAACCAATAAGTTGAATATCCAATTACGGGGTGATCACATGTTGAGGGTTAACGATTGGTTTTATAATCTAGGGTCCATATGTTCCCTGTTCTCATATATTAGAACTTATCTTTGGCTTATACCATCATGAGAATGATGGAATTATGGGATGTTTCTCGACCAGGTGTACTCCTAGAAATATAATCCTCCTTATTCTTTCTTGTCACTATGGGACTAACAATCTAAGAGGATTCACAACCACTTTGGTGATTACGGATCTAAATTATTTAGCAAAGAGATGGAAAACCTTTATTAATTTAAGCTACCTAGGTGATACAAGCATGGGCTACTCAAACCTTAATGTTATCGTCAACAAGGAGATGGGCTTTTTCATTTTGGGCCCAATACAAGGGTTAGGGCCAAGAAGTTTCATGAGTCCTTAAATGGGCTTATTTAATATCAATGGGCTGATTTCTCCATCACTAGGCTTGAACAACATCAATTGGGCCTTGTGAATATGATACATGCTATTGGGCAGAAAGTTTCAGACTTCAAGTCCAATTTGGCTTAACTTTCTTATCTTGAAGTTTTGGGCCAAGATTGTTAAGTGACAACTATAGAATCAGCCCACTTCCAAGCCAAAGTCACCATTATTTTCAAGTCAACAAAATCAAGCTTTGGGGTCGAAATTCTAGATACTGAATTCAAGGAGTTTGCTTCCAATTTTAAGAAGACTTTTCAAAGCTTTGTTGGATCCAAAATTCCTAATTGTTAGATCCTATGTAGTTTAATTTAACTTTGTCTTTCTAAATTCCTAGTAACTTCTTTATGTAAAAAACATCATGTATTTTCGAGTCTAATCAATCTTTGAATCAAATCCACCTTTGTGAGAATATTCACACCTTAATGGTTTCTAAAACTGAATTTCAGAACTTATCAAGAGTCTAATTCAATTCTTATGGTGTTCGAGTGACTTATCACTCCCTTTCTACCCTTTACGGAGTGTGACATCCGTATCAATCTGATTTGGCTTTTTGGGATTTCTTCCTTCTTGTTCGTGGGTTCTCTAGCCATCGTGCTAGGTGGGTTCACATCGGTTGGTATAAGAGCTCAATTTCCAATCAGGTTTTTTTTTTCTTTTTTGATTAAATTCAATTCTTTGTAGTTTTGTTTAGTCTAATTTTGGGTTAGTCCAACTATACATAAAAAAAAGGTCTATTCTAATTCGGGTCTATCTAGATTTGTTTGAATTGCTTGACACTTCTTGTTGTTTCGATTCGGTCTTGTTTTTTTCGTCAAGTCTAAATCTTTTAATAAGTTATCCAAATTCTGAAATTGTTCATTTGTTGCCAAAATTAGCATTCTACCATTATTAAAAAAAGAAAAGAAAAGAAAAGAAAAGAAGGAATTAATTTAGTTTGCATTCTTAAAGTCCAAATTATTGTGTATCAATTTATCTCATTAGGACCAAATCTGTCAAAAAATCAATCCTAGAGTCTTTTGTTCAGTTATCTTGTGATCAATTAGTTCTATCCAAAAATCTCGCTTTATAGATTAAACTCCTCATCATTATTTAAATTCAATCCTATCTAAAACTATTGTTTGGCTGAAATTTCAGTTTGTATTCTTGTTGTTTAAACTATCCAAATCCATACTTGTTTAGGTATTAAAAAAAATCATGTCTTCATCATCATATTCCAAAAAACAAATTCGACATGATTTATGGCGACTAGAAATACAAGATATGGAATGACCAATGCCGAAGGATACTGTTTGAGGCTCTCCAAATTGAAATCAGATGCATGAGATGAATGATTAAACTTTGTAAAAAAGAGGCACTCTAGCAACAAAATGAGGCAATTGAAGTTACAAATTCCAAAGATCATAATATCTATATAAGGGTTGATTCTAAAAAGTTCCAGCAACGTGATGAAGAATCGAAATCTTAAAATTTTGAGGTTGGTGTTGTTGCCAACAAAGAGGTTCATGAGGTTGAATTTGTAGGTGTCAAAAACAATCCGAAGTTCACCAAAAGTTTTGACAAAGCTGCTGTCCTTGACAACGTTGTAGACATCAAAATTTTTGACAACGAAGTTGCTAATGTTGCTGCACTTTTTGAGGGTGTTGAAGTCAAAGATAAGGTCATTAACGAGGCTGCCAATGAAGGAATAATCAAGTGTGATGCAACTGCCATTAAAGTGTCACACGAGAGTGATGATCTTACAATTGATTTGTTTGGTGTTGATAATTCGTCTAGTAGAAGGTCTAGCTCATCAAAGCTTAGCTTTCATGACATTGGATACAAAATATTTGAATATGTCAATTGGATTGTTAGCCACCTAAATAATGTTTACTTTAATTTCTCTATAACTGATATCATCATTTGTTACCCATAAGGTAAGATTTAAGGATGAATCTTTTTGAAGAGTGGGGAATGATATGAACATGGGCTGCTCAAACCTCAATGTTATCATTAACAAGGAGATGGGCTGTTTCATTTTGGGCTCAATCATAAAGGCTAGGGCCAAAAGTTTGGTGAGTCCTTAGATGGGCTTATTCATCATCAATGGGCTGATTTCTCTATCATTAGGCTTGAAGAACATCAATTGGGCCTTATGAATCTGATCCATGCTATTGGGCCAAAAGTTTCAGACTTAAAGTCCAATCTAGCGAACTTTCTTATCTTGATGTTTTGGGCCGAGATTGTTAAGTGGAAACTATAGAATCAGCCCACTTCTAAGTTGAAGCCACCATTATTTTGAAGTCAACAAAATCAAGCTTTGGAGCTGAAATTCTAGATACTGAATTCAAGGAGTTTGCTTCCAATTTCAAGAAGACTTTTCAAAGCTTTGTTGGATCCAAAATTTTTTATTGATAGATCCTATGTAATTTAATTCAACTTTGTCTTTCTAAATTCCTAGTAGCTTGTTTATGTAAAAAACATCTTAAGTTTAATCAATATTTGGATCAAATCAACCTTTGTGAGAAATTCACACCTTAGTTCTTTCTAGAACTGAATTTTCGAACTTATCAAGACTCTAATTTGATTCTTGTGGTATTCGAGTGACTTATCACTCTCTTTCTTTCCTTTCTAGAGTGTGGTGTCCATATCCTTCCAATCTGATTTGGCTTTTCGAGATTTCTTCTTTCTTGGTCATGGGTCCTTTATTAATTTAAGCTACCTAAGTTCTCCTAAAAGACCAAATGATGATAATATATCAATGATCGATAAAAGGTTTATGATTTGGTTGAGCCTAAAATAGAAATATATGTGAACTAAATAAAGAGTGGCCCCAAAATTATCCCTCCCTCTAGAATATATTGAAATAGGGCAAAAAATAATTCTGCATATACTTACTTCTATTGAGATCTATGGGTGTAAACATGGTATATTAACTAGAGATTTTACCCAAATATATCCCTATTACTTAGTCTATACTGTGGTGCCCCTCCCCGGCCCACTCGCTAATTACCCAAAAGAGTGGCTAGGCAAGGAGCGCGTCACGCCGAAACGACCAATTCCTAACTTAATCCCCCTACACGTATGTGCTCATATAGTAAGGACTTATCATATAATGAAACACGTACAAGATAATTTACATAACATTAACAAATATAGTGAAAAAAATTACAAAATTTATTTACAATACCATCGGAATGTCTATTGATACCCCAACCCAAATTCATAATCAAAATAAACTTTGGTATGTTTGTGTCACGTATGAGCCCTTTTGGAGGATCCAACGAGTATCCTTATCGATACTACAGTCATCGTTGCCTTTCATAACATGCAAATAACAATGAGGTGAGCCGAAGCTCGGTAAGTGGGGTGATGCATGTGATATGCAATGATGTTACGTTTCTCATTTTTCCCATCCATTTTATCCGGGTACCCTAGGTATTAGAAAGTCCGTGTGTTCTATCTCTCGATGATCGTGTTATCACCTACTACTCTATTACTCTCTCTCGGTTATCTCATTATCACCTATTGCTCGTAATGGAATTATCCCTCATTGCAACACACGGTTAGCAAAATTATCCTTCGCTTAATGGTGTTAGTAATAGAGCATGCACATGGTTCCTTGTTATTACCCATTTCATCAAATTTGGTTTCCAAACCGCATTATTGCTCAACTCATTTATTTTTCTCAATTCATTTCCATCCCCAATGCACATGATGCACGTGATGTCACTTTTATCGTATTAAACATACGATGGGTACTAACCCTTACACTATTAGTTCATTCTCGATATCCAACTCATACAAGACTCGATTTCATATATTTTCATAGGTCCAACCCACATAGGGTTTCGAGCATACTCATACCCCTTATCATCATGAAATATTTTCATAGGTCTAACCCACATAGGGTTTCAGGCATACTCATACCCCTTATCATCATGTGTCCCCCTCATTAGAATTACATACCGATGAATGGTATTGATTTAGTCGTGGGTCTAATTTTGTATGTGAATACTTCCCTTTTCTTTCCTTTAGTAATTCTAATGGTTAAATTGTTCCACACTTGAATTACATAATTCTTAGCATTTGAACTAATTTTCAATCATCTTAAGGTATAATTTTATTTTTTAGCCGATTTTACAACTTTTAGACCGAATTTAGGTCTTAAGGCAAAATCTCGGTGTCTTGGCAAGCTTATCTTTCTAATTTCACTTTTATTCCTATTTGGACCTAATTAAACCATGAAGCATCAATTGAACTTAATGGAACCCAAAACCTCATTTTTTCTAAGTTTGGGCCGAATGGGTCTCTTAATTTTACAAGGCATATTCTTTGCTCTTATGTGAAGTTTCCTTTTTGTTCAACATGCCTAATCAAACCTAATATGTTCACCATTAAAACTTAAGTCCTTAAGTATCCAAAATGGTTTTATCTTTCCCATTTTGGCCGAAATTCACCTTAGGAAGAACCTTAAAATGTAATTTCCCTTCCTTCCCATTTTACCTTGTCTAAGTTCATATTAATCCTAGTTTAGTCCAACAAGTTTCTGTCAAGCCTCCCTTCCTTTAATCACACCCATCAACACAAAAACTTAACCATACATAAGGTTTTCCAAGCTTTAACAAAATCACACCCACCATCCTCATTCCATAATAACAAACAATCATATGCCAACCAAGCATAACAATATCAACGAAAAACAAAACACAACATAATTGGAAGCTTACTTAAGTACATCACTTTTCATGGAAGAATCAAATAAATGGCATAAATAAAAAACCACTTACTAAGTTTAGGTTTGGTAAAGATTTCCCTAGCTTTTTCCTTCCTTTTTCTCCTTTCTTTCTTTCCCCTCTTTTCTCCCTTTCTTTACCTTGTTTCTCTCCCTCTCAATGGCGTCTTTCTCTTCCTTTGGGTGAGCTACGAGTTTCACTCCAAAAAAATGACTCAGTTTCATCTTTTCCTTATATATATATACTCCATTGGCCTTCCTTATTAAGTATGCCACATGTCCTAAATCAACTTGGCCAAGTATAAAGCAAAGGAAAGGTTTGGAAGGCAAGGTGGCGTTTTTGGAAGTCAAAGGTGATGAGTTGGCTTCCATGTATTTAATTAAGGTGCTTAGGTGTCCTAACTAAATCATTAAGCTAACTAAGCCCTTAAAATAACTTATTTCATGTAGTAATTAAGCTAACTAAGTTGCTAAACTAGTTTGGTTCCAGTTACACACACACCTCAAATCTGTTTGCAGGAGCTATCTTATAGGGCAGCCTCTTCTCAAGTAGCAATATCCCACTTTTGGACACAATTAAATCCTATGATTTTTATATGAGCAACTAGACATATTAAGGTAAAACATATCCAAAAATTAGGTTAAAAGACCCAACACACGAGTCACAACATAATTTTGAAGTTTAAGGATCAATTTGTCCAACAGTAGTTCATCTAGAATAGTATATACTAAAATGGGCATAACATTTTCTATATAAACTTAATAATCAAAATATTTTATAGAGAGTTAGAAAAGACATAGATAAATAACTTTTATTCTTTAAGGTGCACCCAAAAATCACTCGAAGGTCTATGAATAGGCCACACAAAATTCAGAGAGAATCTAATTCGCAAGAACACTAATTCTTGCATACTTGATTCCTCTAATAGTTAAACCATCAATCTCAAGTAAAATTGCTTTAATTTAACACACATCATACATTTTAAGCATTAATTTCTCATGGTGTAATTAACCAAAATTTCATCCCATAAATCCTCACCTAAACACCTAGCATGTTGTCATCCCAAAATACTCAAATGGCACACATACACAATCACATCTTCACTTATTTGAATATTCTGGCCTATATATCTATATAGATAATTAAGGATTTTCATACGGGTTATATACCATTTTATAACCCTATCCTCCATATGAACAACTAACCATCTATATCATTAAAAAAGGATTGCTTCCTTGTAGATATTATCAAAGGGATAATGTGTATATGTATTTAAGTTACTTACACTATTGACTTAATATTATAATGTGAGTAATACAATTATAATATGTTTTCCATGTTTTTCAACCTATCTCTCCTCTATCTCTCCCTCCTCTGCTCTCATAGTATTTCTAGATTAAGTTTATCCTACACTATGATCCTCTCAAAGATAATATGAATTGAGGGATCTTAATAAATGGTCATTCTAGTCCACTCACTCAATTATTGAATTTGGAATCTAGCATATGTAGGATATCACTAAAATATGCTACCAATGCCAATGAGTATATTATTAATAGTAATCTCTCTTGACAACGGATGCCCTTCATGTAAAAATATAGACTAGAATTAGTCACTTTCTCTATCTCCCTTTTTATTGTTTATTAGCATTCAATGATCAACCTATACTTATTTAGGGGATCGTAAGTTAATCCATTGACTTTATATTAATGATATCCTTTATATATAATTCATCAAATATAATTGTTATTCCCCTCTAAAGATGGCTAGCCTATACCTAATCCAGCATTTGTCCATAGTTCACAATAATATCATAAAGTTTATTGATGGCCAATCAATAAAAGGGAGATAGAGAGAGGGACCTAGTTTGAACTTTTCACTACCAAAGATTCTAGATGTCTTTTTCTCTTCATGTCAATAAGTATTATACACTATCTTTTCAATAGAGGATATGATTATTTCCTAGTAATTGAGTGGTAGTTTTAAATATAATAGATACGGTCCCTCCCCTAATCAATATAAATTCATAAAAGCGACCAAATGTATTAACAATGTTTAAATCAAGGTATTACCCAACTTGTACATCTTTGCCATAATTATTCCATTTAGTTTGAGGGACTGAATATACGTGACC